AAAGCTTTTTTGGAAGTCTTCTTCACATGGTGTGACATTGACCTTCAACATCATCCAACCACAGGAGAGAATACTACTTGTTGGAAACTAAGGTGGTGTTACAAGTTTAGGTCGCCATATAATACTGCCAATACTTCCTGAAGGAATGGCCTTCAAAGTGACCTTGATATACGATACAAAATACATGCGTCGATTTTTCATGAATTTGAACCGTTTCATAATCTAGTGACTTTGACAGTACATGGAGACTCCACCTCAAGGACCAAGTACACTAAGTTTTGTCACATTACAATCGATAGAAGGCTGCTGAATGTACTGACTATGTACAAGAGTAACATGTCAGTTGTTGTATCCTTCCCACTAATACCTGTGCGAGTGTTAGCACCATTCTCTAGCCTCTGGCCTGGCACTGGTGTATTACGTGCTATGTCTTGACGATCCAATTCCTGAGATTTCGCTGCCTGAGAAGGTTTTTGTTCCAACTCAATTTTCACTACTTTACGGGAAATCGAGTCTGGAAGTTTGGAGTGTTCACATCAATGGACCTTATACTGTGTGACCTGTAACATGACACCAAGTATATGCATTTAGCAGGAACGACACAATGGTGACAAAATATGGTGTTGAAATTGTTGAAACAAAGAACTTTCTTCCATTAGATACAACTGTGTACCACAATAATTTGTTTTGTTTTTTTCTGACTCATAAAGTGTTTTATCTAAATTCGTGTATAAAACTTAATTACCTTTTCTATAAGTCACATCATGAATGTAAATATGCGACTATATTATAAAATATTACAGATTAATCAGGGTAACCTGATAACCAAACACGAATACATGCGTAGTTTAGGAACCAGTTGAAAGTGCATAACATTTTGCCATGTTTATGATTAAAAGCACTGAAAAAAAGAGATCACGACTTTCAGTGTATTTTCAAAAGTTTAATCTGAAACCGTAAAATGTAAAGCATACAACATCAACAATAAATTTGAAATAGAAAAAATAAAATAAAATAAGAAAGTGTGTTTGCTGCTGCACAAGCTTTATATCACAACTGGAAGTACCGCTACAATAAGCAGATGTAAAATGGAAGTTTTTATGAATGCATTTATTGGTATTTTTAGATTATTCAAAATGTTAAATCCATTTTCGTTAAGATATGTTCTGTTGTAACACAATTTTAGTGTAAAGGACAAGAAAACAGAGAACACTATGACACAGAAATCTTTCAACAAAATGGTCATCATGCAAAGTCCATCAAAAGCTTATGCCAATGAATGAGTGTTAAAATCAACCCAACATTAATACTGCTTGAAGGCAGCAATATTTTTCAACTTAGAAAGTAGCCGTATGTCCAACTTGAACTGATAGGAAATCAATTATTTCATCCATAAAATACTCCTAAATTGAAAAACAGGGGTTACTTCAGCTGAAACTGGTTTAGAACAATTAAAGAAAATAAACCATAAATATCAGGTGTGGAAACACTTGGATTTATATCAGCTGTGGAAACACTTGAGTAACAAAGACATCGGTTTTCTTAAAGGAAAGTGCTAACTTAGAAAATGTTTCTGTAGCAAACTTAGGTCTTAGTGCCTATCATTCAAGATTGTAACTAAAGTAAGAGCTTTTCATTATCTTCTTATGTATGTGTGAAATTATAGCCTTACCTTTCTGAAATTCAAGATTTAAGTGAAAGACTTCACAACGAAACCCATTTAGCAACACACAGAGAGAGGGTGGGTGAAGGCTTATTTGGATCTGCAACAACTTAACCTTTCGACAACTCACGTTCATATTATACCTCAACGTAAAATCTAATAACCTTGACATACAAATACAAAAGTTGTTGGAACATACCAACTTTTAGGATTCTTTTCGTTGGTAAAATAAGAAACTAGTAAAAAAAGCATGAGCTCAAACCATGTGTTCAGTTGTTACAGAACAAAACAAACTTAAATTAGAGAGACTAAAATTACACACATGTTCTTGACGATATGCACTTAAAACCTCAACCTTGTTTTGCTTTGTTTTGTTTGTTGTTTAACGCCGCCCTCGGCAATATTCCAGCTATGTGACGGCGGTCTGTAAGTGATTGAGTCTGGACCAGACAATCCAGTGATTGACAACTTGAGCATCGATTCACGCAACTGGGATACGATGACATGCATCAACTACGTCAGCGAGCCCGACCACCCGATCCCGTTAATCTCCTCTTACGACAAACATAGTCGCCTTTGACGACAAGAATGGGTTGCTGAAGACCCATTCTACCTCGGATCTTCAAGGGCCTGGTTTACTTTGGATACGTACGTGGTTAAAGTGGATAAAGATGTGTCCATATTCTCTGCCATGACATCAAAGGAAAAAACTGATCGCGTATAAAATAAGGTCAAGAAACCCAGAAAACTTCAAGTCTAAATTTTAGTGTCATTTTCTTGATAGAACTCTGTTAATTGTGGCTTTACTATTGCGCAACTGAGATTATGCACGGTCGCGAAGATCAGAACTGTGGCTTTCCAACAATACCAAATACTAATTTTGTTACTAGAACAGTAACTATATATCTGATGCCACGAGTTGCAGATGTAAAAGGCTGATTCTATGGCTCGTTTATCCCCCCCCCCCCCACCCCACCCCATATTAATGTATTAAATAAGAATAAAAGAAGCAATGACAACGTTGACAGCAATTAGAGCTGCTGGTATTCCAATGATGACAGCAACACTAGGATAACTTTAAGAAGAAGTGTGAGGTTAAAAAAATATATCAGGTAAATGACATAAAATAAAATAGTGTAGATATTTATCTAGATGAACAGTACGTTCTGTAATATGCCCAGAATGAATAGCATGTTGCACTGGTGAAAATAATGAATATATTTTGTGTGGAAATTACCCAAACGTAAAAGTAATTATGTTGATAGTGAAAATGAATAGATTGTTTGATGGTGCTCAGTAAATAAAGAGTGTGTTGGATGTAGCTTTGGGAAGAGATTTGTAAATTTATACAATAAATTGTATATTTATAATACATATCCTATGTCATACTATGCATTTCTTCCCTCTTCTTGATCGTGGTGTGGAAATGATTCTAAGTTTCCAGCTTCAAAAAAAACCTCACTCAAACACACCCCAGTCGTCTCCATTGCCACCAACATAAGCAATGGGTCGTAGACCACCTGATTCCCGCGCGACTTCAACACATGACGTCCACAGTATACTCATTCTCTTCTTTAGAGCATAGAGGCTGCTGTAACTTTGGCGTTTGGCGTGTGAGATAGGATAAGTATTATAGATATATTTTAAAATTTACCATTTTTTAACTGATCCAATCTCACACAATGCATTTAATCCACGATTGAAAGGTGGCTAGGCTGTACAAACACCTCAATTGTGAGACGTGCACAAGGAAGCTGGCGTTTGTCACATCGTTTGGGGTCAAGACCGAACTCGTATATGCGTTGCTTCTTAAAGAACCCTTGTACTACTTGTACGTACTTAACATGGTTTCGGGAAGCGCTCATGTGGTATGTGTCTTCACACAGGATGTTGATAAACTGAAAGAAGGCGTAGCTTTGTATGAGTGGATGCCTATTCAGCCACGACTTATAAACCTGTCCTGTGTGTGCGAAAGTGGATCATCCCTTCTCCCTGTAGTAACGGCTCTACATGACAGTCCTCACATATACCCCCGGCGGACTTAAGGTGGGCCAGCTTGGCATCTCTTTTGAAGCTTTGTCAAAGCTATCAACCACAACCTGGTGAATGGGTATGCTCCCGGCTACTAAAGATGGAATCATCTCTAGTACGGCCCATGAAGTTCTCCAAGACTGTCCCCCACATACGCTTCAAGGCGGAGCAACATGGCATCTCTTTTTTGCTTTGTTTGTTTCAACCACGACTGTAGTTATTGAGTGTGTTATAGCGAGAAGTGGAACATCGACAACACCAGTACAGGTCGTTGAAACAGCTACCGAGACTAACATGTTACTAGACAGAGGTTAGCAGGTAGAGGTTCGGGACACTGTTTTCACAAACCGCCACGCCTTGTGGCGACTTCCGTGTATATGACATAACATATCTTCATCTCTACATCAATACTTCGGCCTCCTTGAAGAACACAAGATCTGCGGGTACTCTATTGAATCTAGTGTTAAGGTGTTACAATGGTCGGAGATTGAATATCCTGGGATTTGAAATAACCTTTGAAAGCCTTCATCTTGTGATCATAAAGTGCCTTTGTGGTGGTATGATGCGCATCTGTGATAATTCTTGCCACCCTTCGGGAATATCCCTCGGCTTTTAGAGATTTTGGGAGATGTGCCAGACGCAGAGATGAAGCATGTCAAGTGATGGATATAGCTCTTTTGAATGTGGCTAAAGTAGTAGATCTGGTCGTAGCTGGTGTCTTCGATCTGCGACACTTACGAGGATGGTGAACCAACTTCTCACTGGCCAAAAGGGTACGACTAAAAGTAGTCGAAGCTCATTAGTAACCACTATCTTCTGCAGTACTTGAGGTAGAAGGCCTCTCGGAGGATACATGTGTTGTAGCTATTATATGTGCATATGTGTCCCAGATAACATAATGACACAGGCTTGGGTGTGAGGTCTGATTATTTATTTTCTGTCGTGATAAACCGACACCCTGGAACAATGAATACAATAATAAACATACAATTATATCTGGTACATCAAAACTGAAGCAGATTAATTAATAATCTACTACACTTATAAGCTATACATGATATATCATTTATAACATTTCACAATTATAAGCTTAGATATGTAAGTTTAATGGATTTACACATTTAATATAAATATGGTACAATAAATATAATATTATGTTACAATGCAAGCAATATATAAGTATACATATATTTATACCCGGTGAATCCCCCCGGGGTGTATTTGGGTGGTCACGATCCCTTGTAAATAGATCAAATCCCTCGTGAAAACCTGTTCATGATATAAAATACATCATGAAGGTATTTTCATCTACACACATGAACCTTACATGTAAACTATTATCAAATTATTAATACACAATACAAGTTACAGAATACACAAATGTCCTAGATTAACACAGACACACATATAGTGAAATGAAATATATCTAGTATACATACACTCACCATGCACACACTAATACTAGTAAATGTGACATGTTTAAATATAATTAAGGATCTATAAAGACATTTATTAAACTTTAGTGATTTGCATAATTATACTGGCATAAAATACAATTATAACTTTTAACTACTAACCTTTATATAAGTATATCCTTTCTTCCAGTCCAGTGCACAGTGAAGTATTAATGCCAAGTGCAGGGTGAAAACAAAGGGGTTTGAAAGTGGGACACAGAGATTTAAAACTAGCCAATCCAGAGGACGCCTGGGCTTACACTCTGATTGACCACCAAGCAGTTGACTGACCCACTAAGTAAAACATGACATTAGAATAGGGCTTTAATGATAATACTTGACTTACAACTACTTAAGTATGCAGCCTGTAATGAGAAATACAATAAATAATTCTTGATTACTGCAATATCTGAAATATACAAAATACCATTATTGACAACATACATAGTAAATCAAAAGCTAATTAATAAAACATGATTAATATATACAGAACTACTATCTACCACACATGTATGTGTTATGACTTTCCCACGTGATGGCTAGCGCATCGTGATCCCATGCCTGTGGGTACCATGTCGGCAACGGTTTGTGGAATCGGATTTCGGACAGATCAACTTCTGCGGTTTGGTGGAGTTGGCAAATCCAGTGAAAGTCTCCGGGTTGTGAGGTTGTTCCCGGTACTGGACAGCTTCGCCAGAACGCAACGGTCCCCAACAGTAGTGTGTGGCTGCACGTGGAATCATGGACTATGACGCGTGATCCGATTTCGATTGTAACCAGTCTCGTTATTGTCTTTGTCAAGTAAACGTCTTGTGTTCGTACCTCTGTGTTGTATGTTATATGGGCCAGAAGACCTTACAATGGTGGCAGCGGTGTTGAAGTGTGAACTCATGAAAGAACTTTGAAGAAAGTGCTACTTTAAGGAGAAATTCAAGGAATGTTCTCTTCATCGAACTGTAACGTGAGTTTGTTCCATTTTGCCATTTTGACCTTGTGGTTGAACGTTTTCGTCTACTTTGTGATTGACTTTGAACATTTGAGCAAGAATACTAATCCATTCATCATGGCCGAAGGTGGTACACATCAAGAACATTCTGGTGATATCAAGCACTTCCGAATTCCTTTGTTTGATCCAAAACAGTCAACTTTTGCGAACTTTATTGAAAATGTGTATGAAGTAAAAGCTTGGGGTCTTAATTGGAACTCTGAGAAGAAGTTACGTGGTTTAGCTTTAGTACTTCCTGCAGGGTTTTGCTCACGGGTATTTAACGATATCCCTGATGATAACAAAGCTGATTATGCAATTCTGAAAAATGTTTTGATTAAAGAACTTGATAAGGCCAAAGAGCGTACTCAAACTGCTGCTAGGGAGTTCAGAGACAAATGTTTCTTCTTCATGGAAAGTGTCCAATATCTTGGTTATGAGATTTCTGCTTCAGGTGTTAGTCCGGGTAAGAAAGGTTTAGAAGCAATCATGCAGTTTCCGGTTCTGACTTCGTGGGAAGAGGTTCGTTCGTTGGTAGGTCTTGCAACGTACTTTCAGAGGTTTATTCCAAATTTTTCAGATCTTATTATGCCTCTCAGTCGTATTGTTGAAAAGCGTGTCTACTGTTGGCAGTCGCCACATCAGGAATCTTTTGAAAGGCTCAAGTTGATCTTGACGTCTAACCCTGTTTTGAAACATCCTGATTTCAGTGCAGAGGCGTCACAATTCGTTATACAAACTGATGCAAGTAAGACAGGTTTAGCGGGAGTACTTTTACAAGATGGCCATCCCATCAGTTATGCTTCAAAGAAACTTTCAAAAACTGAACGAAATTATTCCACTATCCACCGAGAAGCACTGGCGATAATTTGGGCTGTTAGAAAATTTCGACCCTATGTGTTCGGGAAGATTTTTCGGTTGAGAACTGATCATAAGCCACTGACATACATTTTGACATCAAAATCTGAGAAATTCGCCAGATGGAGTTTAGAACTTTCTGAATACTCATTTGACATTGATCATATTCCAGGGAATGAAAACATTCTAAGTGATGTTTTGAGTCGTATGCCTGTTGAAGATGGAAGTGAATTGCCTGTATTTGCTGTGACTAGAGGTCAAGATAAACGACGTGCTATTATTCGGAAAGCTCATGAATTGGGTCACTTTGGTGTAAAAAGAACATGGCAATTAGCACAGAAAGTTAATTCTTCAATTACTCAACGCGAGGTAGCTGAAATAGTGGAGAAATGTACTGTGTGTATAGAGGGTCCACATGCTATACCTAGATCTCCTTTAGGTGTTACAGTTACTGCTTCGCGTCCTTGGGAGGTTCTTCATTGCGATTTTGTAGGCCCACTTCCACGTTCGTCTTGTGGTTATGTGTATGTGTTTACATGTTTAGATGATCTGAGTAGGATGTTTTTCGCCTTTCCAGTTCGTACGGCGACGTCATCTAGTGCTGCAACAGTGTTGGAACGTCTGTTTTCCATATTTGGTCCGCCAAGGGTTTTACATACGGATAATGGCACTGTCTTTACATCCAAAGAGTTCAGTATGTTTACTTCCAATTGGGGAATTAGATGTAGTTATACTCCAGTTGCTAGACCACAAGCTAATCCAGTCGAAAGAGCTCACAGAACATTAAAAACTTCGTTAGTGAAGACAGCAGAGTGTGAGAAAACATGGGACAGAGTTTTGCCAGAAATTGTATTAGCACATAATTTGTTGATAAATCGCACCACTGGTTTTGCTCCGTATTTTGTTATGTTTGGTCGTAACAGTTTGATTCACCAGTTAGTGTCAGACGATTTTTCTTCTGTGGGGGAGGAAATGGATGGCTGTGTAGAGTTATGGGATAAGTGTGTCGAATCTCATACATTAGCTAAATTACATCGTCAAGAACAGACATCTGAAAGAGTTTCAAGGATGTTTAATGTTGGTGATCGTGTTGCTGTGAAAATATTGGGAGGACATAAGTTCAAGAAACAGCATTTCAAGTGTGGATTTGTGATATCCAAGTGTTATGGTGAGTTCCTGCAAGTCAAGTCATCAGATCGTTCATCGAGAGAAACAGTCGTCGTAAGTGTTGATCAAGTCGTGCCAGACCTTTCTTGAGAGGGGAGGAATGTGAGGTTGTTCCCGGTACTGGACAGCTTCGCCAGAACGCAACGGTCCCCAACAGTAGTGTGTGGCTGCACGTGGAATCATGGACTATGACGCGTGATCCGATTTCGATTGTAACCAGTCTCGTTATTGTCTTTGTCAAGTAAACGTCTTGTGTTCGTACCTCTGTGTTGTATGTTATATGGGCCAGAAGACCTTACAGGGTGTAGTTGCCACTTCATCGGAGATCGTTGTTCGCAGAAGTGATGAAGAATCGAATCCTTGGAAAAATGATGTTACTCCAGTAGTTGCACGACGTGGAAGGGGAGAATTGACCACATGTAAACCATGTTGCTCTAGCGCAGCGGTCATTTGTATATAACATAGATGATTGTATACGGTGATGTATAATAAAGGAGGAAATAGATCCTGATTGATCCCTCTGATCAGAATGTTCTCTCTAGAACGAATAATGTCGATCCTGTTCCTGGCTATTGTTGTGACGATGATCCTCAGAAGTTGATCGACGATCCCTTTACAGGCATTTGATGTCGATCCTACCGGGATGGGTATGTGGATCTCAACCCTGACAGCACCAGTGATCCTATGGCCATGGGAGAGTGGCATGTCAATCCTACCGGGAGGGGTATGTGGATCTCAACCCTGACAGCACCAGTGATCCTATAGCCATGGGAGAGTGGCATATCGATCACGTAAAGAGGTATGTCAATCCCATGAAAGGGTATGTTGATATCGATCCTGGCTGTGCCTGCGATCGTCTGACTGGTAGAGGGGATGGCGATCCCTAGGAATGGTATGTTTATTCCTTGAAGAGGTGTTTAAATGTAAATCTGTCGATCGTAGAGTGGTGATGTTGATCCCCTGGAGGTGTATGTTGATCCCTTGGAAAAGGGTGTCGTTCAATATACTCCAATGAATGTAGAAGGATGGAACGTTGATCCCGATATCGGCTATATCGGCTACAGTCCTCTGACGAACATGGACGAGAACGCGTTCATACAGTAGACTGTCCATTTCCGTCGCACATGGAAGAGAATATCAATCCCTTTCAACTCTTCTGCATCCACCAATCGCTCAGGCGAACGTCCATCCGGTGTACGCTTAATACAATCAAGATTGGCCGACTTTTTACAGAGCACACACCAAAAATAATTCTCTTCAAATCCAAAAACGTCTCCACACCAAGGCGATAAAAAAAGAGAATAAGCAAGCCTGGGAGGTCGTGTGATCAAGTTGCGCGGGAATCAGAGCGTGCACAGTCCATTGTTAGCGGCACGTGATGGCTGGGACGTGTTTGGGTGCAGTGCTTTTTGAAGCTGTAAACTGGTTTGGGATCGTTTCCACACCCGGATCGAAGAAGAAGGATGAAATACATAGCGTGAGATAGAATAAGTTCTAAAACTCTGAAATATTGGGGGAATACGTTTTTTTCTCTTCCAGAAAAATACGTCTCCACTCTAGAGCCATAAGAAAGAGAATGAGAAGGGAGAAATGCAAAGTGTGTCATAGGATCAGTTTTAAAGCATCCAACACTATCGCATGAAACACAAGGTAATGCAATATGTAATGCAGGATAAGGTGAAATATTTCCGAAACTCAACGATGACGATAATAATGAAATTCAAAAACGTAACACTAATCATGAAAGCCACTTCGTCTTTGTCGACCCTGTCATCAGTGAAATACAAGTCATCATTAAAGTGCCTTAAAGTAGTTGAATAGCACAGAGGTTGATATTTTTAAAATTCAAAATTAGGAATTGCAACTGAAAAAAATTGCAGCATTCCTTGGGCTGAAGATCAACATCTTAGCAGGTCTAGACTGTAAAACCATAAATTGACATAACTCAAGCTACTAATTACTAATCAAGCAGCTTACAAACAACTATGCAGTGTACATGTATTTAGGTATATTTCGGTCAGTTCTATATGAAATATAAGTGGACAAAAAGTGTAAATAAACAAGATAATTCGGTATTTGCAAGTGTTACAAAAACATGATAAACTAACTATGAACTTCAAAATAAAACATAATATAAACCCGAGGAATGTCGATGAGTATGATAATGATGGTAAGGAAATGAAATTGAAGTAAAAAAAGAATATACATTGGGCATGTGATAAAACATAACATGAATCGTTATCAGACTAGACAATGTGTGGAGAAAACTTGAGTTTTGTTTGTTGATTAATCCCGCACTCAGTTACTTCAGTTATATGACATCAGCCTGTAAATAATCAAGTCTTTGCAAGACAATCCAGTGGTTGATATTATGAGCAATGATCCCTTCCATCAGGGTACAATGACACACGATCAGCCAACACACCTGACCACCCAATTCATCCAAGTCACTTCTTATAACTACATAGGCTGTTGTGAGCCACTTCTAACCCGGAATCTAAACAGGAGGTATGAAACCTAGCAGGTACTTACACAGTACGTTGAGGTAGACGTCTCCCCAGATGTAGCCGTATTTGTTGGTGACGTTACACTGGATCACCATGGCATCTTCCTTGGTGACATTCACCAACATAACCTCATCAAACGCGATTCTCTTGAACCGCTTATCCATGTTGGCATCTGGAACAGGGCATCATTTGGACATTGTTTCACAATAGAGTCAATAACCACACCAAAGCTATGTTCACACCTCGTAGCAGGGGCTTGATGACATTTATCCATTCCCCTCCATAGCCGACCAAACTTTGTACAAAGCAGAATGACAATTAATCCAGTGTTGCTACAAGTAGGACAGATGTAAGGGTTACAGAGAAACCAGCCACAAATACATGTTGTGGATTCTCACCTCCCAGGCGTACAGTGTTGATGTACCAATTCAGTGAAGGCTTTGGCATTCCATCGGCCAGGCACTTGAAGCGAGCAGTCTCTCCAATACCCAACACCACATCTCTGGGTTTCTCAATCCAGTAGGGACGGGCTGCCAAAATTATAAATAAACATGACAAAGTATTAAATTAAGGTGGGGTGTCTATCAAATCCGACAAGAGCAATGCCAGGGTGAACTGTGTAGTGTGAACAAGTCTAATTCATGGTGGAACTTACCAGGGTATACCATTTTGAATACATTTGGCATCTACAGATTCATGATATTGAATTGTCAGACAGTGAGATTACTAATACAACATACACATGTGAAAGATGGAAGACACCATCTGTCACAACATGGTGAAGTTAGCTCATACGGATCTTTCAGCTACCGGAAAAATGTCTCAAACAAATGTGTGACTTACATTTAACTATAGCCCCATTCACATGGACACTTTTACTTACGTGAGTATATATACTTGCATAAGTAAATTTACTTATGGTGGCATGTGAACGCATTTGCTTACGTGAGTAAATATACTCCAGGAGTAAAGAGACATGAGTAAAAGTATATTTGCTACACCTGATGAGGTCTAGTAAAAGTATATTAACTCATAAGTATAAATGCTCCTGGAGTATTTCTGTTCATGTGAACAGATTCTCTATTTGCTTACGTAAGCCTATTAAATCCAAGATACTGATATCAGGAAAATACGGCTGTAGTTCCTTGCAAAGAACATAACATGTTCATAAAATGTTTCGCGTGTCATGCGAAAGTTATCGATCCACAGTTTATCATCAAATGATCGTTTGACGACATTGTTCCACCAGTGTTGAGAAGTTCTCTCTTCCAAAGTGCTCTTTCCTTTCCATAATCCTAAGACTATTCCCATACTAAGAAAGTATGGAAAGTCTCTCTTTCGCCTCTGGTTGACTATCTTCGACAGCGACATGGCCTCAAATGATAAAAGTCCACAATTTGTTTATGAAATGATGTTTACTTCTGCCTTGCATAAACTTCATGTGAACACAATGTAAATATACTTTTGCTTACATGAGTAAATTTGCTTACATGAGTAAATTTTGTCCATGTGAATGGGGCTTTAGTCGCCCTGCGTATTGAAAGTCCAGGAGAAATGCGTCACTTCATTTAAGTATATTACCCTGCTTATAAAATGTCTGGGACAAATGTGTGACTTACATTCAACTATGTCGCCCTGCGTATTGAGTCCGGGAAAGTCCGGGAGAAATGCGTCACTTCATTCAAGTATCTCACCCTGCTTATAAAATGTCTGGGACAAATGTGTTACTTACATTCGAGTACCTCGCCCTGCTTATAGGAAGTCCGAGACACATGGTTTACTTACACTCCACTCTCACGGTGATGGTTCTCTGAACTCTCTGAGGGGACAGAGCATTCGTTGCCCAACACACGTATTCTCCTCCATCAGAAAACTCCAACCTTGAAAACACAAGTTCCTGCCCAAAGCTACTCTGCTTGGCGTAGTCGGGCAAAGGTTTGCCATCAGGGCGCACCCAGTGCACGTCTGGTGTGGGACTGAAATGGCAACAATCAGTAACAATACTCCTCCAATACTACTGTGTGTAAACACTCAACTTGATCATGTTGATAATATCAATTCAATCATACTGATGAATTTGTTGAAATGCGCATACAACTGTTACAACATCATCTCATGTTAACATGTGTGACATGGCACATGTATCATCAAATAACGGCCGTGACTAACTAGTACTCGCCATGCTCACTGAAGTTACAGACACGTAAATGAATGAAACTGAAACAAAACTTGTATAAATTGGTGTTTTCAAGTACTTGAACAAACAGAAGCACCCCCTTCAGCGACAGTTGATCAAAGCCTCTGAAGTCATAAAATACCACCATAAGTTGCCAGTCCAAACAACATTACTTCCAGTCCTTGATCCTAATCAAGACAACGTCCTCAGATTGTAAGATTGTACAAAGTAAAGCGCAACAGTAACTGGCAATGTTTCGCTATTACCTGAAAGATGACCTTGACCTTTGATAGACTTTCATGTAGTAGGACTTGTAAAGACACATGCAAATGTATAACCTCAGGGCTCAGAAACTGACAACTGTGTTTTACAAAAACCTGACCTTGACCGTGGACCTATTTTCACCAAAACATTTTCAAATCATGTTTAAAGCCACATTCAAGGCCTTTTCAAGAGAAGAAATACACCAAGTTTTTTCTACATGAATGAATGTATTTTGTACATGACACTCATTTCACTAGTCATTGTTGGCTCATGGGGGACTGTTGAAACATGGTTGAGGCCTGACTTACTTTCCAGCAAATATACACTTGATCCTGAATTCATCCCCACGTAGTCCGAAATGGTCAGTCGGGGAAGCCCACATGTAGGTGACTGGTCTCTGAACTTCTGAAGCTGCAAACCAAACATTACAAAGATAAGAATGACTAAGCCCTCACACCATGTACACTGGACACAGGAAATCAAGGTTATATCATTCATGAAATCACCAGAGATGTGAAACTACTTACATCCCCGTGGTATAATAAACTGGTGCGCTCCCTGCGTGGTTTTACGCACAATTCTATTCATGGCCATACAGGCATAGGCTTTTCCATCTTGACTGTCAACAGCCTTGATATTGGTGATACGCAGACGAGCTAAAACATAGGAAATATAAATATAACAAAATGTATTTTGGGGTTCTCATTTCCAAAAGGTAGTTTGCCCTGCCGCTCTGTAGGCTCTGAGGATTACTACTCTCATCCAGAAGTAAATAGTGGTTCTGATTATTTCTATGGTATTATTTGTAGATATTCCTTCTGAAACTTTGTCGAGTGGAACTTGATCTGTTTAGGTAGATGCATACTGGACGTATGAAATTTTCTTCAAACAGTAATACTGTCAACAAACACACAGAACAGCACAGCCCAGGATTTAGCTTTCCATGTCACGATATGCTGAAACTGACAGATAACACCAATGATACTAAATGAACAGTAAACTAGGAAACAAAGCAATGATAAGCCACTTGACAGAGCCAGTGGTCAGCCAGGCCACAGCCACAGTCACCAACCCAGGTACCTTTACTCAAGCAGTCAGAGGCCACTGAAATGGAATCTTTCCCATTTCGCGGTCACTTATCACAAGGATGGATTTTTTTGTTCCTTCTCTATGTCCATTGATGATTGAATGTCTGTCCACACAATACTCACACTCATGATCCATGGTGACTCTGGCATCGAAGTTGATGGGTGTTAAGCCGCCATACTGCTCCTTGATGACCCAGTACACCTCCGGAGGGGGAATACTCTCTGGGGCCACGCAGTTCAAGGTCTGAGATTCCCCCAAATATGGTGAGAATGTCACGTCTGCTTCCACATCAAACTCTTTCAGCTTTGCTTCACGCAGGTTGATGTTTATGGTTGCTGACTTGCCATAATCATTCTCAGCAAAACACTGGAAAATCCCCTCATCTTTGTCTTCTGGTCTGTTGATGACGATGGTTCCAACATTGGTAAGCTGGACCAATCGGTCATCATTACCACTAGGGTTGAAATCAATTCCATTCTTTTGCCATGTGTACCTGGTAAAAAAAGATTAAATAATGGGATCCTCTTTTACATAACTACTGTAATTAGCAATGGCTACATCAGTTTGTCATGATCACACGATGTTAGTTAACATTGACCATTAAAATCACTAATCAAAATAGGATTCGTTGTAGCTATTGCATTGCAATATACACTGTTACACATTATTTTTTCAAATTTTGTATTTTTATAACCATCTGACAAAAAAGAGGAATTCATTTGACTCGTCTTCTACTCTAATGTGTGGTGGTTCTCCAAGCATAACAGAGTTTCTGTGACTGACTTCAATTGCTGATGGATTATTTGGAAGGAAAATTCAAAAAGTCATATCTTGACATGTAACACTTTGGTTAAACCTATGACTACTAATGCTGACAGGAATAGGGATTGTAATCGTGGTGCAAAGGTTGTGGCATTCCACCACGTGGCTACCAGATCCAGACAAGGCAAAAGAACGTTAATCTCCACAGACTGCGTAGTGAGACCACTTGGCCAGCTGAACCTGACAACACGAAAAAAACGTTACTCTCCACAGACAGTTGAACCTGACAAGATGAAAGAACGTTACTCTCCACAGACAGATACACCTGACAAGGCTAAGGAACCTAACTCTCCACAGAGAGCGTAGTGAGACCACTTGGCCAGCTGTAAATGACAAGGCTGAGGAACGTAACTCTCCACAGTCAGGTGAACCTGACAAGACTGAGGAACGTGACTCTCCATTAACAGCTGAACCTGACAAGGCTGAGGAACGTAACTCTCCACAGACAGCGTAGTGAGTCAACTTGGCCAGCTGTACCTGACAAGGTTGAGGAACGTAACTCTCCACAGACTGCTTAGTGAGTAACTTGGCTAGCTGTACCTGACAAGGTTGAGGAACGTAACTCTCCACAGACAGCTTAGTGAGTCCACTTGGCCAACTGTACCTGACAAGGTTGAGGAACGTAACTCTCCACAGACAGCTGAACCTGACAAGGTTGAGGAACGTAACTCTCCACAGACAGCGTAGTGAGTCAACTTGGCCACCAGATCCTTACAACGTTGAGGAACGTAACTCTCCTCAGACAGCGTAGTGAGTCCACTTGGCCACCAGATCATGACAAGGTTGAGGAACGTAACTCTCCACAGACAGCGTAGTGAGTCCACTTGGCCAGCTGAACCTGACAAGGCTGAGGAACGTAACTCTTCGCAGACAGCGTAGTGAGTCCACTTGGCCAGCTGTACCTGACAAGGTTGAGAAACGTAACTCTCCTCAGACAGCATAGTGAGTCCACTTGGCCAGCTGTACCTGACAAGGTTGAGAAACGTAACTCTCCACAGACAGCGTAGTGGATCCACTTGGCCAGCTGAACCTGACAAGGTTGAGGAACGTAACTCTCCACAGACAGCATAGTGAGTCAACTTGGCCAGCTGAACCTGACAACGTTGAGGAACGTAACTCTCCTCAGACAGCGTAGTGAGTCAACTTGGCTAGCTGAACCTGACAACGTTGAGGAACGTAACTCTCCACAGACAGCTGAACCTGACAAGGTTGAGGAACGTAACTCTCCACAGACAGCGTAGTGAGTCCACTTGGCCAGCTGTACCTGACAAGGCTGAGGAACGTAACTCTCCACAGACAGCGTAGTGAGTCCACTTGGCCAACTAAACCTGACAAGGTTGAGGAACGTGATTCTCCACAGACAGCGTAGTGGATCCACTTTGCCAGCTAAACCTGACAAGTTTGAGAAACGTAACTCTCCACAGACAGCGTAGTGAGTCCACTTGGCCAGCTGAACCTGACAAGGTTGAGGAACGTAACTCTCCACAGACAGCATAGTGAGTCAACTTGGCCAGCTGTACCTGACAAGGTTGAGGAACGTAACTCTCCACAGACAGCGTAGTAAGTCCACTTGGCCAGCTTAACCTGACAAGGTTGAGAAACGTAACTCTCCACAGACAGCTGAACCTGACAAGGTTGAGGAACGTAACTCTCCACAGACAGCGTAGTAAGTCCACTTGGCCAGCTTAACCTGACAAGGTTGAGAAACGTAACTCTCCACAGACAGCTGAACCTGACAAGGTTGAGGAACGTAACTCTCCACAGACATCGTAGTGAGTCCACTTGGCCAGCTGAACCTGACAAGGTTGAGGAACGTAACTCTCCACAGACAGCGTAGTGAGTCAACTTGGCCACCAGATCCTTACAAGGTTGAGGAACGTAACTCTCCACAGACAACATAGTGAGTCCACTTGGCCACCAGATCCTGACAAGGTTGAGGAACGTGACTCTCCACAGACAGCGTAGTGAGTCCACTTGGCCAGCTGAACCTGACAAGGCTGAGGAACGTAACTCTTCGCAGACAGCGTAGTGAGTCCACTTGGCCAGCTGTACCTGACAAGGTTGAGGAACGTAACTCTCCTCAGACAGCGTAGTGAGTCCACTTGGCCAGCTGTACCTGACAAGGTTGAGAAACGTAACTCTCCACAGACATCGTAGTGGATCCACTTGGCCAGCTGAACCTGACAAGGTTGAGGAACGTAACTCTCCACAGACAGCGTAGTGAGTCAACTTGGCCAGCTGAACCTGACAACGTTGAGCAGCGTCTCTCTCCACAGACAGCTGAACCTGACAAGGTTGAGGAACGTAACTCTCCACAGACAGCGTAGTGAGTCCACTTGGCCACCAGAACCTGACAAGGTTGAGGAACGTAACTCTCCACAGACAGCGTAGTGAGTCCACTTGGCCAGCTGTACCTGACAAGGTTGAGGAACTTAACTCTCCACAGACAGCGTAGTGAGTCCACTTGGCCAGCTAAACCTGACAAGGTTGAGGAACGTAATTCTCCACAGACAGCGTAGTGATTCCTCTTGGCCAGCTAAACCTGACAAGGTTGAGGAACGTAACTCTCCACAGACAGCGTAGTGAGTCCACTTGGCCACCAGATCCTTACAAGGTTGAGGAACGTAACTCTCCTCAGACAGCGTAGTGAGTCCACTTGGCCACCAGATCATGACAAGGTTGAGGAACGTAACTCTCCACAGACAGCGTAGTGAATCCACTTGGCCAGCTGAACCTGACAAGGCTGAGGAACGTAACTCTCCACAGACAGCGTAGTGAGTCAACTTGGCCACCAGATCCTGACAAGGTTGAGGAACGTAACTCTCCTCAGACAGCGTAGTGAGTCCACTTGGCCAGCTGAACCTGACAAGGTTGAGGAACGTAACTCTCCACAGACAGCATAGTGAGTCAACTTGGCCAGCTGAACCTGACAACGTTGAGCAGCGTCACTCTCCACAGACAGCTGAACCTGACAAGGTTGAGGAACGTAACTCTCCACAGACAGCGTAGTGAGTCCACTTGGCCACCAGAACCTGACAAGGTTGAGGAACGTAACTCTCCACAGACAGCGTAGTGAGTCCACTTGGCCAGCTGTACCTGACAAGGTTGAGGAACGTAACTCTCCACAGACAGCGTAGTGAGTCCACTTGGCCAGCTAAACCTGACAAGGTTGAGGAACGTAATTCTCCACAGACAGCGTAGTGATTCCTCTTGGCCAGCTAAACCTGACAAGGTTGAGGAACGTAACTCTCCTCAGACAGCGTAGTGAGTCCACTTGGCCAGCTGTACCTGACAAGGTTGAGAAACGTAACTCTCCACAGACAGCGTTGTGGATCCACTTGGCCAGCTGAACCTGACAAGGTTGAGGAACGTAACTCTCCACAGACAGCATAGTGAGTCAACTTGGCCAGCTGAACCTGACAACGTTGAGCAGCGTCACTCTCCACAGACAGCTGAACCTGACAAGGTTGAGGAACGTAACTCTCCACAGACAGCGTAGTGAGTCCACTTGGCCACCAGAACCTGACAAGGTTGAGGAACGTAACTCTCCACAGACAGCGTAGTGAGTCCACTTGGCCAGCTGTACCTGACAAGGCTGAGGAACGTAACTCTCCACAGACAGCGTAGTGAGTCCACTTGGCCAGCTAAACCTGACAAGGTTGAGGAATGTGATTCTCCACAGACAGCGTAGTGGATCCACTTTGCCAGCTAAACCTGACAAGGTTGAGAAACGTAACTCTCCACAGACGGCGTAGTGAGTCCACTTGGCCAGCTGAACCTGACAAGGTTGAGGAACGTAACTCTCCACAGACAGCATAGTGAGTCAACTTGGCCAGCTGTACCTGACAAGGTTGAGGAACGTAACTCTCCACAGACAGCGTAGTGAGTCCACTTGGCCACCAGAACTTGACAAGGTTGAGGAACTTAACTCTCCACAGACAGCGTAGTGAGTCCACTTGGCCAGCTGTACCTGACAAGGCTGAGGAACGTAACTCTCCACAGACAGCGTAGTGAGTCCACTTGGCCAGCTAAACCTGACAAGGTTGAGGAACGTGATTCTCCACAGACAGCGTAGTGGATCCACTTTGCCAGCTAAACCTGACAAGGTTGAGAAACGTAACTCTCCACAGACGGCGTAGTGAGTCCACTTGGCCAGCTGAACCTGACAAGGTTGAGGAACGTAACTCTCCACAGACAGCATAGTGAGTCAACTTGGCCAGCTGTACCGGCCAAGGTTGAGGAATGTAACTCTCCACAGACAGCGTAGTAAGTCCACTTGGCCAGCTTAACCTGACAAGGTTGAGAAACGTAACTCTCCACAGACAGCTGAACCTGACAAGGTTGAGGAACGTAACTCTCCACAGACATCGTAGTGAGTCCACTTGGCCAGCTGAACCTGACAAGGTTGAGGAACGTAACTCTCCACAGACACCGTAGTGAGTCAACTTGGCCACCAGATCCTTACAAGGTTGAGGAACGTAACTCTCCACAGACAACATAGTGAGTCCACTTGGCCACCAGATCCTGACAAGGTTGAGGAACGTGACTCTCCACAGACAGCGTAGTGAGTCCACTTGGCCAGCTGAACCTGACAAGGCTGAGGAACGTAACTCTTCGCAGACAGCGTAGTGAGTCCACTTGGCCAGCTGTACCTGACAAGGTTGAGGAACG